CGTGAACACGACCCCCGGTCATTTATTGATCGTCATCCTCCATTATCCTTCGAGGCGACGCAGGCAGCGCAACGAGGGCCGACAGAGGCTGCGCGCAGCTGAAGGGGATAAAGACCGACAGGACTAGCACACGTCTTGGATATCATCGATCCTCTCCCATCCCGTCCCTTCTCCACCTGGGACGAAGGCAGGGTGAAAAGACGTTGGGGCCGAGATGGGTCGATCATCTCTGAGGGCCGGCGGGTCTGGAGGATCTATCGGGCGTCGCTGCCGTTTCACGGCGTCCTGGAACACTCCCAGCATTCCAGCCTACTCTGGAGCGATCTGTCTTTCGGGGGCGCGCAAACATGGATAAGCGATCCATGGATTTGGCGCGCGGTCGCCGAATCCATGGATCGGGGGGGGGGGGCACTCCCCAAAATGCGGCCGGTGCCGCCGGCGGAAAGCCGCGATTCCCCATGGAAACAGGACCCGTCGCTAATCCACGCCACCTTGATCCATGTTTGCGATCGCTGGAGTCTTCCTCCTGGGCTTGCCTGGCCACCTCTCTCTCCGACCTCCCCCCCACTCTGTGTTCCTTCGCGCCCCCCATCCCTGCCGCCCCCTCTCGTGGCCAGCCCCCAGACCTCAATCGGCCAGGCGTAAGAGTGACCCTGGGTAAGAGCGACCTTTGGTGCGCAGCTTTCGGGGGCGCGAGGGAGCCAAACCCCAGGGCGCGGGCCGCTTATAGCGCATCGCGCTCGGCGATCGGGGGGAGCCCGATGAACCCGCACCAAAGGCCACTCCGGCGAAAGGTCACTCTTACGTGTAGTCGGCTCAAGCGCCCGAGCCGAGCAGGCCACCGGGCCTGTGCTGCGGCGGTCCGCACGCGGAACGCAGGCAAGGCTTCCTCCTGCGCTGGCCTGCTCCAGAGGACTGAGGGAAGCACGCAGGACCTGGGCGCGAAGCCACCGATGCGTCTCCTCCTCCTCCTCCTCCTTCGCATTCTGCTCCTGCTCCTCTCATCCAGCTCCCGCTCTCGTCCTGCTTTACTCGGGATCCGCCAAAGGGGGTGGGGACCCTGAGGGGGGGCATGAGTTCGATCCGCTGGTGCACCGAACTGCCGAAAACGAGTGCCCCACGCATGCCCCACCTGTCGGCAACTACCGGGAGCTGCGGGCGGCAGGGGGGCATCTGTTTTGAGCGGTTTGTCGCAAAAGCGATCGAACTCTCACACATACACACACACACATTTTTTGATCTGCGGGGCGAGAGCGAACCTCTTCCGCTAAAAGCTAGGCGGGCTACGCACAGCTTTAACTAGGGAGACAGGGCCACACACACACACACGCGCACACACACGCGCACACACGCACGCACGCACGCACGTACGCCCGCCCGCCCGCACACCCGCACACCCGCACACACACAACACAACACAACACAACACAACACAACACAACACAACACAACACAACACAGCACAGCACAGCACAGCACAGCACAGCACAGCACAGCACAGCACAGCACAGCACAACACAACACAACACAACACAACACACAACACACAACACACACACAACACACAACACACATCACACAACACACAACACACAACACACAACACACAACGCACAGCACACAACACACAACACACACAACACCAACACACACACAACACCAACACACACACACACACTACACACACACGCACGCACGCACGCACGCACGCACACACAGACACACACACAACACCAACACACACACACACAACACCAACACACACACAACACACACACGCACGCACGCACGCACGCACGCACTCACGCACACACACAGACACACACGCACACACACGCACGCACACAACCACACACACACACACACGCACACGCACACGCATACACACATACACACACGGGGCACACACCCCTTCGCGGGATCCCTATTTCCCCAATCTCACCGAACCCCCAACGTTGTGATTGTTCCTCAACGCCGACCCCCAAAGGTCCGGACCACTTTCCCCGGGACGGGTTGTTCCCCTACAGGCGGATTTGGGACGAAAAAAACTCCCCCCCCAAAGGCTCCCTAATGGCCAGAAGTAGTCAAAACATTGTTCCCTAACTATTTCTGTACTATTTTTGAATATCCCTCCTGTAGAGGGACAGGCCCGACTCAAAAATAGCGAAACACCTCCCGTCGTGATTTTTTCACGACGCGAGGGGGTCTGGGTCCCTCGCACCTGCTCCTTTCTAGGCGACGCGCACACGGGAGGGCTTCTTGAAAGGAACCTGCTTCTTAGAAGGCGCCGGCCTTCCATCGGTCCATCGGTAGATAAGGCCCGCGCCTTCTAAGAAGCAGGGGTGCTTCTAAGAAGCCCTCCCCCCTCCCCCCGCACCCCTCTGCGCGTGGCTGACTTTTGCCCTCGCTCCACTGCTCAACCATCCCACGGGGGAGCTGGGCCTGGCGGTGCTGACAAGCGGCCCCCCCCTGGAGGGGGGCAGCAGCGCTCCTCCTCCTC